CAGCAACAAACCAATAACGCTCCTATGAGCGTTAACAGTAAAAGTTATAAAACTATGACACGTTAGATAGACAGATAAAAGTTTATTAAATAAGACCATCATACAAGTTCACATTGTTTCAACATGTATAGTACATCTAATATACTATAGGACTAGCCGTGTGTCTGTCTGTCTGGCTGTCCGTCTGTGTGTGTGTCTGTTCTGGGCAACCGAAACGGCACAATCGTTTTTCATCAAACTTGGTGGAAAAATCGCAAAAAAATCGTAGATTCAAACCTGGTCCCATGTCGATGGTTTCTTTAGGAAGGCATTAATTAACAATTTTATTTACCCTCCGTAAACTTCCTGACCTCTCGTATGTCTATGGGAAAGGGTCGCGGAAAGGGGACGTGATTGGTGCTCGTATCATCATTGGGTATGACTCTGCTTGGGAGACCCGACAGCCGCACCCTTATCCACTACCTCCTAAGATGTCCCCACACACAACGCTTCCGTGACGCCTGCTGGACCACCACTCCACGACCCCTTGACGAAGACACGATGATCCTCCCCATACTGGCCAGATATTATGTAAATAACATTGATTATGTGTTAAAGGAATATCCTTCCTTCCTTAGGCTTTAGTAAGCCCCTTTATAATATTTTTACTGTATATACTTGTCACACTTGCCAGATGTTTCTGGTGTTATTGTACAGGGATACCTAGTGACAGCACTAGGATCCCGCTTCCTCTATCAAGGAATAAACAATTGAAATTGAAATTGAATTGAATTTTATTTATGATGGAAAACGATGCAAGTCTATACGACTTGGCGCACCCTAATTTTCCATGCAAGTCTACGGGCTTGGCGCACCCTCATTCACTGTACGCTGTCACGAGCGTTCAAACTTTCACAAGGGCACAAAGGGCCCGCGATCACTTGTGAACACTATATGTATACACATAATGGTAAACAGTAATTAGTTATATTAGGGTCGTAAACCAAGAAAAATGTTTATAGTTTTTCCTCTGAGGATCATCTACATATTTTGGTATTTCTGTTGAAGTATGGTGATATTATGTATACATTATTTCAACAGGAAAGGTTTATTTTCATATTTGTACAGAGTAGGTCTATCAGTCATAAGCTGGTCTCCCACGAGGGCCAGTGGGGGCCAGTCGCATGTGTTAATACAGAACACACAAGTATCTATAGAAAACCTGCCTTATTCGGTAGATGCACACTAGATAACACCTTTCTCACGTCCGAGCTAAGTGGGAATCTTATATGGGTCGAGGTGGTGAGAGGTTGTGTTGCCAGGTGACAGTTATATACGGGACTGTAGCTGTGTGACATGGTTGAAGTTGCCAGTCAGTGTAGGCTAGTCACTTCCAGTCACCACCTTACTTGATTGTAACTTTGCAGATACTGTATCACCTACAACGTGAGGTTCAGTGTAGGTGGTGACCGAGCGATGTTATAGCACCATGACATTTGTATAACAAACACCCCTATAAGGATTTACACTTATTCGTCCGTGTAACTTACTATACTTAGTGTAGTCCTTTCGTAATACCAGACTTGACAACCTCATTCCGAAGAGGGTAGGAAGGTCTTAACGACATAAGTATTTTGTCTCACCTGCGCCCACAGTGGCACCGAGAGACAGATGCTCATAGCCTATCAT